TATGTATGTAGATTATCTCCTGATGAAAATGACTGACTTGGCAGGTATTGATGCAAACAGTGAAGCGAGAACATTAACTTTTAAAGGTTTTTTTCCCCCCTCCAAGTTCAAGATAAACGTTTGTCTCTGAGGCTGGAATGTTCTCTTCCTAAGCTTTCTGAATATTTCATTTGGTGTGTATATATGTGTACACACACATAAAGTAATTGCATTATCAGAATAAACTGATCACTAAGATACTGTGCTAATGAACCAGAGTTTGACCCTCTGTGAATAATGCAAGACTATTGACCTATTTTTCTTGTTCTTTCTTACAAGAAAAACTTCACTTTTATTACATTGCCTCTTATTTCTTTAAGTCTACATTTACTTTGTTCTGTCAACTACAGAATAGTTCTATTTGAGTGTGGGAATAGAGGGGTGAATGAATATTTCTGTAATCACAGAATCACCCGGGTTGGAAGGGACCTCAAGGATCATGTAGTTCCAACCCCCCTGCCTAGCAGGGCCACCAAAGATACACATTCAGATCAGGTTGCCCAGGACCCCGTCCAACCTGGCCTTAAACACGTCCAAGGACGGGGCATCCACAACCTCCCTGGGCAGCCTGTTCCAGGGTCTCACTACTCTCCTTGTAAAGAACTTCCCCCTAACATCCAACCTAAATCTTCCCTCCTTCAACTTGGATCCATTTCCCCTAGTCCTGCTGTTGTCAGCCCTTTTGAAGAGTTTACTCCCCTCCTGGGTGTAGGTTCCCTTCAGGTATTGATAGGCTGCAATTGAGGTCACCCTGCAGCCTTCTCTTCTCCAGGCTGAATGTAAAGTAAGTTAACATGGATAAGACAAAGGAGAGAGATCAAACTCAAAAGTACCAGTGAAGTCTTAGCTTCAGACATAAAGTTTTCTGGAAGATTTTTCAGTTTATAACTACGTAGAACAGTAAATGCAAGCATTTTGATAGAATTCATACAAATAAGTACTATTTTCTGAAGGAAAAGAAAAATCCTTTCCAGATATATACTGACTAAATCTGTGTTTTAATTGATAGTTCAATCCATCCCCACAATGCTCAGCCTTCTCTATATGGAGTTACACATAACACACAAGTATTGCAAGAATGCTTTGCGCATCTCTCAGTAATTCTACAGCTGTCTCCGCCAGACTTTGTAAACCAAGTCCCTTACCTGCTTTCTTAGTCATCACTTATGTAGGCCTAATTCCCAAACTTGTTTTCATAATATCTCACAGGCCTGACAATTTATTTTGGTTTCTTTCATTCTCTGCAGCATAGCCTTAACTAGAAGAAAATAAGATACGATAGTACAGTCAAATCACATGAAAGAAGAATAAACAATCAGGAGAAAGAGAGAGAGAAAGAGTGCACTTTTGGAGAAAAAAATGGCAGTATTGGCTCTGCACCTTTGCTGTAGCTCGAGAAGGAAGTTTTTTCTCTGCATGTGAGAAGGCAAAGCATAAAAACAGGCTATATAGTGTTTGCAAGTAGTATTTCTCCCTTCACGCCACGCTCAGCCCCTCACTTCTGAGAAGAGCCAGTCCTGACACCTCCCAGAAGAGTTTCCTCCACAGCAGCACCAGAAGCCTTGTTACTTTCTAGCGGCAGGTCATCCCCAAAATGTTTTTCACAGTGACTGACAGTCTGTTCACCAGTACAAGTGAATTCATGATCTGCGCAGTTCTGCTCCCTAAGGACATTCTTAATTCTTTTCAATACTTGGTATGTGTTTGATCTTCTCTCTTCCAAAGACAATCAAACATGTCTTGTCAGCACTTCATTATCAAAAGAGGAGCAGGAAAGGCAGTGACGGGTTACATAAATGAAGAAAGTGAAGGGTTTAGATAAAAATTTATGAGGTCCAATCCTTTGGCAGAAAAATCCTCCATAGTTTAAAATCATAGTTATACATAATCAAACCAAACTAAGTTAAATTGAAAATCACGCAAACTTATTTTTCCTGTACCAGAGCTAAATCATCACTCCGATGCTTTTATGATAGCTGCAAGAGTTGAACCAAAACAGATTTTTTGGTTGTAAGCTAAACACTACAAATAACAATTGACAGCTCCTAGCAGGGCCTTATTTACTATGAGCCTTATTTGCACTTGATAGGCGCTTCAAAGCAATGTCACTGTCACAGCGTATTCCCCTCTCTTACCTCCTTCACACAGACTTCCAGGAATATGCTGCACAAAATTCCCCTCTAGCTATGTGACTCTGAGATTCTTCACACTGCATTATAACATAGACAACTTACACTCCAAAACATTTTACGTATGACCAGTTGGAGGGGACAGTCAATATCTTTGAGGACATTCTGCCCTGATGAAAACCAGGGTCCTTACTGGCAGCAGTTGCTATAATGGAGCCTGGCTCATAAATGTGGGGATTTTGCCAGAATGATTTTGTGGATGCATCTGTACACCTTTGTGCACTACAGTTTTGTAAATTGTAGCTTTAGCAGGAAACCAAAAGGTGCACGTGGTAAAATCCCACTGTGAGAAAGAGAGAGGGTGTGCAGAGAAGTTGTGGAGTCTCCTTCCTTGAAGATAATCAAAAGCTGTCTGGTTGTGGCTTCGCCTACTTTAGAGAGGATTGGCCCAGCTGGTCTCCTTGAAACCTATAACATTCTGTGCGTTGGTCCCAAATAGCTTAGTACTCCTGGTGACCGGTAATAAGATTTGCCTGTACAGGAATATGGGCTTTGACTTGCACACAGAACTCTAACCCTATACAGGGAATAAATAAGAAAATGTAAAAACACAAGCCCTAACTACAAAACTTGTAATAAGTTCTCACATATATTTCCATGTATGTAATAGAAAGGATTAACCTGACATTGCAGCAAAAGGGTTGATTTTACAGTGATTTAAAAAAAAAAAATCTGACCTTGACATATAACTAATAAAAATCTGTGGAAATACACCATTCTGATACTAATATGTAATAAGAATCAGTCCCATTTTAAAATACTGATTCATATTAGTTTTACTTCATCAGTTTCACAGAACTCCTAGATTTATATCAACATAAGAAAGACTAGAAACGAACTCAACCAGCAACTTTTACGTTTATAATTAACAAAACTGTGATGCTTAAACTGACCCATTAATGTTACAAATCTCCTGGACTCACAGTACATGTTTACTGTGAAATAACAATATATTTTTATGACTTTTATTAGTATAGCATTTAATATTAATCTGACTCTCTCACTTAGTCTTACTGGTTGTTTCCTTCTGCAGAATGAATATGCCAACAGTTGAAATTTGTGGGTCCAGACCTAAGTAGGCCACTGTAAGAGAGTCAGCGAGTAGCCATCATTTCTTTTTGTCAGTGATCTTCAACAGCTACCTCGTACAAAGGCAAGGATCTTCAAGTAGATCTTTTAGTCCCTATAACATAAAATTACAGGCAGAAACAGCCATAAGATGGAAACAGTATAATGAAGATTTCACCATGCTTTATTTGCGTATGAATGAATTTATACATAAACTACACACATTAAGTATAAACTTGGGTCTTTACAACTGACAAGCATGCCAAAGTTCAATGCTTCAAAGAAAAATAGTTTTTCTTAATTGTTTTTAGTACAAATAACTTTTTCACTTCCACAATTTATGCCAGAGTAAATCTAGAATCATTAATTTTTTCAATCTCTGCCTATGCTTAATATGTAGCTGCAGCCTTCCTTCACTACTGTGGTTAGTACTGCACGTTAAAGCTACACAAATGCACAAGTGGGCTGCTCTTTCACTTAGATTACAAAATATATAAACATGAGTAAGTGAAACGTTCGCTGTAGCTATAATTAATTTTACCAGCATAGGTCATAAAAACTGAAGCTTTCTAAAAAACAGATTGTAAAGTAATAGAAAATGCAACTATGAGAGCAGAGTAACAAGATCCCTAAACACAGCGAGAATTTGCTGAAACATGACAGCAGTAGGCACAGAAACAAAAGAAAGAACCTACTTACCTGCAGAAGACCAGAGTTACACAAGAATCTCCAAAGAGACACCCTTGCCTCCACTGCCAAACCTTAAATGAGGTTGGGAAGGTGTGGGTCCTGGCTCCACCTCTTCTGGTCACTGAAGTACATTGCATGCACCTGAGCTCCTCTGGGTTCTCACCAGGTAGTCAATCATGGTCTAAGATATGACATAGTATTTCCATTACAATGCATTTGTTTCCTAGCTTTTTTTTTTTTTCCTTCTTAAACAAAGGAATAGAGAAGGTAATTTTCATCATATATGTAATAAGAAAGAACTTCAGTGGCCTTTGTTTTTCTCTTCATGGCAAAATCAGATTGAGAATAGCCAAAGAGAAGTTAGAACTAAGTAAATAAGTTAAAAATAATCATTCATAGTACTGAAACGTGCAAATTCTTCTTTTCAAGAAATTCAAACAAATAATCTCAAAATATTTTATTGAATTTATTTATAGAATACCTTCTGACTTCTAGCTAAAACTCTTTTATAAAAGGAAACTGTGGTAAGAAGGAAGAGTTGAGAAGAAAAAGAGAGTGGTGAAGAGGAGAAGGGCTACAGGGTTTGCAGTTAAATTTGAGACATTTAAATTTACGTGCAAGCAGGGGTCTAGATTTTGATATTTATGTTGCATTACTGTGGGTTATGGTATGGGTTACACATATTCTAATTTGCTCAAGAGAGTCACTGTGATTCCAGAAGGCAAAACATTCTTTTCTTCTTTGAGTAAAGAGAAATGTTATATTCCATCTAAACAAATAATTTTAAAGTGACTTGCTTACAAGCAACGCACGTATATGAAACTCAAAAAAGCAATATACTGTATTAAGTAAACCGTATTTGTTTTGTGGTATAAATGAATAACAGTTCAAAATGTTCAAGATGATTGAACATTAGAATCAACACATAAAACATGCATAATTTGTATGAAACAATGTTCAGGTGAAAATTATAATATACTAAACATAGATAGTTTGCTGAATTATTTTATTATTTTATTTGATTTGGTATAATAAGAATGAAGACTACAGCCACAGATCCAACTTAATGATAACTAGCTTAACTTGTTGCAGCTCACGCATGAACTGTCAATATGTCTCTGAACCCATTTCACACTTGACCTTCTGGAGGGCAGTGGAGCAATATAGAAGTGTACACTATTCTCTCTGGTCTCTGACATTGTTAAAAGGGAAAAAAAAAATGCACTAGAAAATCTATATTGAATTAATATACAAACAAAGTCTTTATATAGGAAAATCTTAAAAAAAAAAAAAAAAAAAAAAAAAAAGCAAGAAACAAAATAAATTCATGAACTGAAAGCTGTGCTTTCAGTTATAGCGTCTCTTAAGAGTAGTGCTCTGATGCATTAATAGTGAAGGCAGGAATTCAGTTTAAATATTGCTGCAGCTTAAGGTACACAATTATATTCTTCAGTGTCGACATTTTCACCTTGATAAGCATAATAATGCCATGCAGATGCAGACTAAAACCCATAATTTCAGCACTCTGCTTCTACTCACGTTGATTGTAATAAGGTATGGCACTGAAGCATGCATGATCCCACATTTAATTGTCAGCATAGCCTTTCATTTAAACAAGAAGTTAGTTAACAGTGTGCTTTCTACACTGAATGTGGGAGGCATCTCAAGTAGCTGTGGCTAAACAGGGAAAGTTAAAAGCATCAGTAAAAACATGTATGAAAAACTAATGACTTAAATTCACCTCCAGTTTCTCAGTGGGTGTCAATGTAAATTGAGAACAATAATATGATATGTTTGTATTTGCAAGAAAATCTTTGCTTTTGTTTTTCTCACTTTATTTTTAAACAGGTAAAGTTTTGCTGTTGTTAGCATTTAGTATAAAACAGTAAGTCAGACAACAAAGAACAGATCAAGTATAAATGTAAATTGAAAAATGAATAAGTATTATGAAAACTAAAAACTGGCAAAAGGAAATTACGCATTCTCTTTTTTTTACATGATCTATTTAATATATTTGCTAATTTACTTCTAGCAGGAACTGAACAGTACTTAGCAAGTAGAAAACAATTTAAACAGTCTGTAGTCACATATATACATTTATATATATCAATACGTATAAATGTACAAATGTAAATCAATGTGCATGCATATATAAATCAATAGCTTGAAAATATCCAGCTTGTATCCAGCAGGAAAAAAAACGGTATTGACAACAAAAAAATCCCTATCTATCTGAAAGATATATTTTTTTTGATCTTTATCTAGCCCTATGCTTTGCTTGATTCTCAAAAAAATAGCACTTAAAAATAAAAACGAAACATCCCACAAACAAATAAATCTCAAACTTGAAACAGTCCAAATACCACAGCTTACAAACACTACTTAATTCTCTTTTAGGTCATCATGATGCTTTAGTAACTTAAATCCCTTCTGATCATATGAAGACTCAGAAATACATCATTAGGAACAGGAAGTTTCTTTGCCTTGTCTTGTCAAATGCCACATTATATTTTCTAGGAGTAATTAACTCACGCACAACTTCTCTTTCATGCATTTAGTCAGACAATGTATCTGAATTTGTAAAAGTTGGATGGCCGGTATTACTGTAGCTCAAAACCAAGGAGATGCTTTGCCAGTGGAAAGACAGCATATGTCAGAAGCATAGCTGAGAAGCTTGTGGGAGGTCTGGAACAAAATCAAGCAGGTGCGTGGCTGGTGCCTGCTGCACCACGTTTCTGTTAGCTGAAGTTAATGGCAACACTTAACTCAGCCCATCAACATGTGACATGAGACAGACTGATTTGTTTTGTTGGAACTTCCAGAATGTTACTGTTGTGTTCTCTATTAGAAACTGGGGGGAAAAATAAAGCTATGAAGTGTCACAGGATATAATAAAGCTGCTCAAAAAGTAATGCCTCTTATTTAATTATATTGGCCCACAATGGCAGAAGCAGATGTTGGTGAACCTTCCTGTAGAAGCATGCTCCTGTAGAGTATGAACATTCAGTATTCTATCATTATCAAACCTGGTGGGATGCAGTACTTTAAGGTCAAATTACTGCCTCGGATTATGGTGGGTACAATTCTTATACTTGTAATCACTTGATCTTTTGCTAAAGTGACTATTTTAATCCTTTTATTTAGATGGAGAAGGATCTCCACATCCTCAGTTGAATTTTGATGACAAGCAAACCAATAAGTAGACTTGGCAGAAAAAGCCCTTTTAACAGGACATGAAATTCATCAGTAGTGTTCAGAATCACTGCCTAGTATTTAGAAGTTGATGGACCAGATCCTATCACAGAAAGCAGAAAAAGCCTACTAACAATTTCTTGCTTTACTGGCGACATTTTTAGATATCTTACATACCTCTGCTCTCTTCTGTTGAAAGGAATTTTGGTGGAGAAATAAAAAAGAAAAATGTAAGGGAAAAACCAGCAGTAAGGAAAAGCAATACATTTATAATTCTTTTGTATAATGAACAGTAACAGCTTCTGTAGTAAATGAAAAAAAATCTCTCCTTTATGAGGCTATATTGATTTTATAAACATAGCAAGTATCGTCATTTGGTCATACAAATATGTGACAAAAACTGAAATGAACCTGAAATGCAAATTTTATGTGTTAAGCTATCAAAGGTATTCAGTTTACTCTATTTTTATAGGCAGTAGTAGATAATAAAAACTGAGTAAAATCCTGAATAAAAACCTAAATAAATAGGGAACAATGAATGCTGAAGTTTCTCAGCTGCAAAACTACCTTAAGCTAAATTCTGTAAGATTTGATGTGGCAAGGAAAATGGAATATGACTATTACTGACTTGCACTAAATTATTTGACATTGAGCTATGCATCCTTCACCTCATACCTTGGGTCAGCTGTACAAATTGTAGACTAAGCATTACAAAGATGAGCTTTATTCTCCCATCCACCTTCTGTTCCATGTTCATTCCTAGTCAGAAGAGCCCAAAAGTTCTGTTGGTTTCGTCAGTTATTAGGCACACTGAAACTGGAACAGGTGACACAGGCCACCACTCTTTTTCTTCAGCCGTAATCCCTTTTCCAGCCGTAGGAATGATCTGCAACTGGCCACAGGGAAGGAGTATAGATGATGAGCTGTTAGGGAAATGCTACACTACATAGCACTACAAGTTTCCAATAAAAGACATATGCCTCACTAAACGTCTTGGAAGGTCTTTCCTGTGATGTATGCGCTTCTTTGCGGACCAGACTACAGCACTGGCTGCAGATCAAAGCAGCTGGATAGCAAAATCTTGTTTTAATGAAGTAAAATACTATGTTGATAGTAAAGCTTGCAATTAATTTTAAAACTCCCTATGCATTAATTGCTCATAGTTTTGAAGCGAAGTGTACTGCAATTCAAATGCTGGATGCAGTCAATGTCTTCAGCTTTAATTAACTACTGCATCCATATTAACATGAAAAAAAAAAAGGAAAAAAAACAAGTAAAACCAAAAATAGCATATCTTTCATGGGAGAAAACAGTTGAATCATTTAATATCTGTCAACAAATGATTACCAGATCTCAGAGGCAAAAATCATCTAATTGGCCCTTAGCATTTAGAAGCAGCTGAGTGACTGGGAGGATATTATTCCATAAATATTGTCACATATTATCTTATCTTAATAATTATATACAGTTTATATGACAAATTATATTGAAGGCAGCTTGCATAACCATTTATTATTCAGAACACAAAGTGAAATGGGACAACAGCTAATCCCCACAACAAACAGTGCTCTTTATACATCAGTACTGATAAATTGAAACAGTCATGCTGAATAGTATCCAGTTTTGCTTTTGTAAGACAACTGGAACGTCTAAAACTGTCTGGGAATAACATAGAAAAAAAGATTTTCTTTAGTGCTTTAATTACATCTGCATTAATTTTTCAGCAAAATTTGCCGTTATGTTCAGAATTACATATATATAAGTATAATACAAAGAATTATACTTAGTACTTCATATGAGGTTATCTTTCAAAAGTGATGATCCAGTTGATGCTGAAGGGGGAGCATCTGACAACCTTCTTGTCAAAATCTAAGATTCCTTAGCAGGATGCTGTAAAATCAATATAGAACCATTATCATAATGCAACCATTTTCTATGCATTCTTCCTGTGGCTGGTTGTTTCACTTTCCTATCAGGATTGCATCCTCCTATTTTACTCCACTTCTCCACTACTGCGACCACAGTTTTCTGTTTTCTAATGTGGGTGAAATGACACTGCCTTTTTCGGGTGCATATCATTGTCTACTGACTGTAATGAAGCCCAAATAGCTTGTCTTGCTTAGATTAGCTACATTACAAATAAACTGCAAGGTGACAAGATCATTATGAATCTTTTTCCTTTTTCTTAATAGTCATGTAGAAGCTCAGTAATTTCTTTGTGTAGTTTCTCATACCTATCTATCAGACTTTTTTTTTCTAGATCCTTAAGAACAAAGTATTACTCTCTTTCACACCATTCTTATTTGTGGTCCTTTTCTTCCCTTTCCACATACAGATACTAACCTTCATCTGCAGGTCCCATATAGAAAAATTGTTTATTACCATAGTTAGCACGTGGAAGTCATTTGTCAATGCCACAATCATGAAATGCATTTGAACTCCTGCTGTTTTAGAGTTTGCCCTCACAGGCCTGATGTGACTTTTTTTTAAACCGATAGCAGGAAGTCAGATTCTTATTCTTTCAGAGCTTTTATGAGCTCAGTTTGAATGGCAGGTCCACATCTCACATAGATTTGTTAATTACAGATGTGATATTACCAAATAGATTCTTAATTGCTGCCTATGTGCAGAAATTGGCCTAATTTTCCTCTTACTGGTTCCACAGTATAGTGGAATATTATGACACAGGATAGTGTCATAATTGGCACACTAACATAAAGCAAATATGAATAAGGTCAGTACTAGACTAGCTCCTTTTTCTGGTGCAAAGAAACACAGATTAGATTTCTATTGGATTTTTAGGAAAAAAAAAAAAAGCTTAATCCAGAATTTTTCTTTCCATTCAACTATCGTTTCCATATGTTATTGATTATAAAGGCAGTGTTTCTTCATAAAAGCAGAATCTTAATGTTATATGGGTTCTTGGAAGAAAAAGACCCATTGATAACTGTCTTAATAGTTACTCAGAAAATGGAAGTAATAGATGCAATTTTTGAACAATCCCACACTTAGTATCATCTGAGGTGGTTGATCATATTCTAAGAAATTAGGAAGAAAATTCTACAATATTGCCTAAATAATTATGATTACATGAATACGTTTGCTCATTTGTAGCTCTATTAGTTTTTCTCAGAGTATACGAGTTTTTAAATTTCTATTATTTTTCCCAGTATTACTTTCACATCTTTGCAAACACTTAACTCTGATCAATTATATTTAAGTATAAATACAAATTCATGTACACGCACAGAACATACTGTACAATTTGTAAGTCATATTTATGGGACAAAAATGCTAGTACATTATCCAAATGAAGTTCATGTTCATTATGAAAAGATTACTTGGAATATATTTTATCCCAAACGTAAATGTTGGAAAGTACAATTCCATAAAAGCAGCAGAATTTGTTATATAAAATTTAGAAAGCTTTATCTCTTAACACGTTTTGATTTACAAAGTGAGAAAAGATCTTGACTCTGAAAAATCCTTATTTGATAGTGAAATAACTGAGTGTCCCATTGGTAAATTTAAGGGATTGCTAATGAAACATGATACCGTGCCTTTCTTCTCCTCTGCTTCAGCTCTATAACCTGCTGTTTAGGTCTGAGAAAAAAAAGAAGGAACATCAGTGCTAAGTTGCACCAGTAACAACTCGTGTTCTGATGTTATCTGATCCCATTTTTTTAGTCTATACACTTTGCAAGGTCCAGTCTCTCTACTGATAAGAAGACATGAAAAAAATTCTCACAGGTCTCAGGAAAAAAGGAGCAAGCATAACAGAGGGCATTTGGAGCATATTATGGGAGTGTTCAAAACTTATGAGGAGTTATTTTAGGAAGAAGGGCTGCAGAAACAAGGTGTATCATGGAAAATTAGGCATTGGAAGATAGACATTTGGAAGAAAAATTTACTGAGGTAGGTTATGAAACTCACACATGGATTATTTACCATTCCTGAAGATTTATGGAAACAGCCATGGCTTCTTTGAGCTACTGGTGGTATGAGACTTGCTCCAGCCAAGCTGGACTCTTTCCAACCAACATTTTCACGATTGTCCCTTAGTTTCTCATGTGCTCAGCAGATCATGGGAAGAGACGTCCTAAAAAAAGAGAAATACCATAACTTCTAACTGCAATAGGAACAGATATATCTGCATATTTCATTCTCCCACTGCTTAACTTTATGTGTAGCAGATAGATACAAGAGAGTATTTTCCACTACAACTAACACCGACAGATGATGCAAAATGAGAAAGTTAGAAACATGTCACTTATATTTAAAAAAAAAAAAAAAAAAACAAATGAAAAACCTCAGAATATATAATACATATGAAATCCCAAAACACTGAGTTCCTGAAAAATAATCAATAACATTTCTTTCTCAAAACCTTGTAAAACATACTATTTTGAAGAAAAATAGGTCAACTTCAGTGCTGTTACAAAATGTAAGAAATTGAGTGAGGTGTCTTAATCATTTTTTTCATAAAGTCAGTGGTGTCTTAATGCAAAAGAAATGTGCTGAAATGGTTGCTAGTCATTGCCTCCTGAGCTCCACTGGGCTCTTGATATGCAGCTCATAATTTTCTAGAGCAGAAGGGATAAAATCAAAACTGAAGCGAGTCACAAATCTTAATTGAATTCTTTAATGGTGTAATTTTCAACAATGATCATTCCAGGCTTTCAAAGTAATTTGAATATAGCTGAGTGTATGTAGGCACTTCAGCCATCTTTACATACATTTTTTGAGTATACCTGTAATGTTGGTGCAAGTATACCAAACAGGTGTGAGCACATTCTTTTTTTCCTTATGTGTTATTGTTTTCTGCATCATTCAATAAGTGTGCCAAAGCTCATATTACGTTAATTCAGAATGTGCTGGTTTTTTTGTTCCCCTACTGGGTTATGTTAATGAAGAGGAAAACGTTAACCATCATTGTAAGAGAAGGGAATATAAAAATCTTTCATAGAAATTTGAAATAATTTTGTTACCAACTGAATTCCAAGTATTGTATAACTGACTCAGATGTTTGTATTTACTTTCAAATGTGGACATGTGAGTATTGCTGAAAGAATTATCTCATAGAATGAGGTGTCTCCAGTCCACAGATAGTAATGTTTGATAACATTCTTCCAATCTTTCTGACTGGGTCTTTATTGGTGACATTATATACTGAAACAAAACTTTTTCATCTTGTGAGAAAGTTTTCATGTCAGTATATAAAAGAGGCACAGAAAACTATATTTACTGGAACAGAAACAATTGCCATGCATGTTACTTTATTTCAGTTACTCCACTAAATTCTTATGAGTAAACAAAATGAGGAAAATCATGCTTAAGATGAAATTGATCAAGTCTTAAAATAGGTACCCAAAATCAGTCAGATGATCTGTACTCTGTGTTCTCTCTCTCTTCCATAATTTTATTCAAATTGCAACTCAAATTTGCTTTGGGACAGAAGATGGAGGAATCAGTAAAGAGTTCTTATAGCAAATTTTATCTTGACAAATACACAGAGATTTTTTCTTTGTTTAATTAATTGCTCTATATGTACTTCGTGTTTCAGATTTGTCATGTATCTCACTTTGTCCTATTCTGGTATATGCTTTTTAGCCTTTGAACATAAACATTGACTTGAACTTGCATGTTGGTCACAGAAGTGATCACCATCTATTTATACAGATAGTTGCTACCATCTCCATGTATTTCCTGGGAGAGCAAAATCTCTTCCTTATTTCCTTACATAAAACAGAAAGGAGTTACTAAATCAGTTGGTATACAAACATGAAACAGGGCTCCCTGTGCCTGAGTTGCTGTGAGCTGCTCATGACAGAAATGCCAGTTAAAGACCTATTTCATGTCTTTCAGCTTGCCACAGACCCCACCAATCATAGCTTGCTTAATTTATAACAAACCCAGCTAGGTTATTTTGATGTGATACTCCCTATTGGTATCAGTTTTCTCTTAAGAAACCAGCAGCATGTGAAGCAGGAATTTATTTGACCAGTTATGTTGGAAGATCAATAACCTAGTAGAAGTGCTGGTAGTTTACTGGGATCAGTTAACTGAAGTAACATTTTCTTTTATAAGTTAATATAGCTTTGATATGGAAGGATTCCAGTTGCAAATGTATCACAATCTATTCGAGACAAAAGAATCAGAACTTCCTATAGAATACATCAGTCCAAAAGCTAGACAAATTTTATCTGGTAAAAATTGGAAAGCAGCAAACTTTCCTATTTTTTTCCTACCTATATTCTATAGAATATTTGATTGTTTGGTAACACATCATTCCTGACTTCCACGGTAACTACAAAGATACCCCTTAGAAGACAAAAGGTACACTACATCAGACATTAACATTTAAAATGCATGAAAAAATATACAGGTGCATCCACTCTTTATTGGATCTTTTCAGACTTCACCTATTTGATTTAGATTAGAAAAATATATTTAAAAGAAAGTGAAATCCATAAATAGTTTAACTTAGCAAAGCTGAAATGAAATCATGACATATATGCGATTAAAATGGTATACCAAGAATAACACAAGAGAAAAAAATAAGGAAAAACATTATTCTACATGCTTTCATCATGTATATTGCCTCATATCTTTCTAGGATTATTCAGCACGCTCTCACCACTGCCCTCTTTATATTTCTTTTTCTCCCCCTACTGCCTTACCTGTCTACACCTAGCCCCACTTCACTTTTCTCCTGACATACATATAGTAACTCCCTTGAGCTTTTTGCACTTTACACTTAACAGCTCTCTCTCTGAAAGGTGAAGAAATGAGATCATTCACTATGATGCTGGATAGGAAAACTACAGATAGTTCAAGAGAATAAACCGAAAAAATCAAGTCAACGCACCTGTCATAATTACAGGCAATACTGCCTGCTATTTAGCTTGCTAAGCAGAAGGTAAGGGCCAGCTTGCTTGTTGCAGGTATTCCAGGTTGCCACATACCAGCTGGAACAGTCCCTAGGAAAGTAAATAATTGTGTCTGTAGGGTTATTTCAGAACTTTAAATGATAAGATTTTAAATCTCTTATGTGAGCACAGATGGAGACAATGCTGTCACTGCAAAGGTTGCCATTAGAAACAGATTGAGCCCAATAATCAGACTGGACTACTAATGTCTACAAGTACCCTCTGCCTAACTAGCACTGGCAGGATGCTTTCCTTACAGTGATATATGTACAAGCTGTGACTTGCATTTCATTTTCAACCTTGGCAGGCCATAATAATCTGTTAATGAATGAAGACATCTTTAAGCACGTAGTTGTAAGCCAACAGCAGTTGGTAATCCTCCATATCCATTTTATTTCATTCCATTTACAATTCCACTTACAATCAAGCAACGAATAAACTACTGATGGTTGGCCAGCAATACCCATATGACCTTAGTGTTTGAAAACTGCAAAAAAGCAAAACACGCAATGCCAATGACAAGCGTACATTTTCAATATGCACACAAGTGGTACATTTGAAAGCCACTCTGAAAACAAATTTTAGCAAACTCAACCAAAACTTCTATTGTTAAATAAGGTATATACACACAAACAGACAAAAGCTATTTGGAAATGGCTACTAAAAACAACACGTAGTATGAGGCGTTTCTACAGTTCACTTTTTGACATAACATATAACAGAATCAGTTACAGAACACATAACAAACAATCACAATTTCAGTAAATCCCAGAGATGTATTTTTTCACTATATTGTCACTAAACAGACAATTCTACAGAAAACTTTGGTTATATAATTCTCAATAATAAATATAAAGTTGTTTCTTATTTAGCATTAAAGAGAGAGTAAATAGAGCAAATAAGGGATTTCTAAATTTCAGTACTCAGTCATGCTCTGCACATTATTCTTTTTCTTAGGTGTATACAGTTACTACAGACAACAAAATTTATTCACTTACCTCCTTTTGCCTTGAAAGAGTTGAGTTGTCATCAGCCATTAAGAAGTCAGCTTTTTTTTTAATAACTAAAGTAAATAATTTCATATTATTACTACTGTTTCTCACCCTCTTGCCCAATTCGATTTCAATACCTTTGTTATAATGTCTTTACTATTTATCCTTTACAAAATAATTCAATCAAAAATAAATAGTATAGAAAATCCATGTTTTTTCCTCATTATGAACTCCTTTGAAAATTCTACAATGTGTGACCAAATAATTTTTTTAAGTGACATTGCAAAGATCAACTAATATTTATACTACAATATTTAGTTTAATCAGAATACTTGAGTATCTAAAAAGCTATCAAGTTTTCCACATCATAACACATGAAGAATTCTTTCAACACGATCTGCTAACTAGCAATGAAAAAATTTCCTTGTGTCTTCAGACTTGATTGGAATAGCACCTTTATGACAAATTAACACATAGTCAAAAACAGTGAGTATCACAATTGAATTGTATCCCTGAATTTGGCAATAGATTTTAACCTCTGTTACAAAAGAAAATGTGATGCTAAGTATTTTGAAAATATTTTCACCGTATCAGACTACTTGGAGGTTGGATAGGTCACAAAAAATCTGCAAATCTGAAATTTCATATACAGTTTATCAGGTGTTTGTTGTGGCATAATACTGTATTTATTCTCTTCAAGATGACCAATTAAAAAAGTCAGTATGATGTACTGCTTACTTGAACTGTCAGATGAAATAATTAAGTTCACAGTGAACCAAAGTCTATCAAATTTCTCACTAAATTACTGGATGCAGCTCTAACTCTCATTGTAGTTCTACTAAATAACAATATTATAACTATAATTGACTGGTAAGCGATTACTGCTTACTAGCTAAAAACAAAGATAGCATATATCTCAAAATATTTTTAACATTCATAGAGTAATCATAGAAAATGATTGCATTGTTCCTGATTTTCTAGCCTGAACTTATACATGTGAGTATATAATAATGCAAATTAATGTGGCTCATGTCTTATTAAATGCTTTCTTGAGATACGTTACTGGAATTGTGGTAGGATTTGGATGTCTGATGATTTGGAAGTTTGGAGCAAAAGCAGCAGAACAGATTGCTCCCTCACGCTGATACTGAGTTATGTAGGACAGATCTGTGCTACGTGGGGCACTGGGCTGAGCTTTGCCAGTTCCCCCTCTGACCACAGGATGCTAATACAGATTCCAGCGCTTCAGTGTTAGGTAAAATCACTTCACTGCTCCATTTCTCTGCTCCTCCACTCACCAAGCTACTCCACTCCTAGCCAGCTGCAGCAGACATAAAAGCAACAGGACCTCTGAAATTTTATCCCCACAGCTCTTCAGGAGACCTTGTTACTGTCATACTTTGATGCACCATTTGAAGCACCCTGAGGTAGGGAAGAAATGGAAAAGTCACAGGCATGCATGCAGCAGCTAGGAGGATGATATGGATGCTGCAAGCTACTTGATCAAAATTTGCAAAAACAGGGGTAATTAAGATGAAAAAAGCAGAAACTATAACTATGATTTATGCAAATCCACACTGAACTATGTTAAAAGATTATAATCTATTACTTTTAAAAGGAGCTGTTGGTATCTACATCACTCCTTTGCTCATAAGACAGAAAAATCTGCCAAAATTTCTTACCTGCTGTCCCATTTCTGCCATTCGCAGTCTCATAGCAAGAATGATTTTTTCCCCAACTTATTTCTGTTAGCAATTTTCTTTCAGATAAAAATACAATACATACAATCAGCAAAAATATGTCCATTTCATTTCCCCATGCTTTCCTTCTTGACAGCAAAATTTGTAATTTTTCTGAAGGTATAATTTTTTTCCATTGATGAGTGAAGCTACTGTTTCATCCACTAAATAACTAACAGAAACACGGCCTGCTCGGGATAGAATTTCTGCTGAGTCCTCATAATGGAAAATATAGCCATAACTAGAAGTTAAGGCTTAATAAAGCTGCTTTTGTATCCAGCTGAAGAATTTTCATTAGAAAAGGATGGAGTCGTAGAATTTTCAAGGCGCTACAGATATAGCTGCTGATCTATTCCAAAATTTTTTTAGTAAAACAAATGAGACAAAAGGATCTTTTTCTAGATCCTAGAAAAAGAATCTAGATTTTTGTCTTAGAGAAACAGGAAAATCTAGACAATTCTGAGATGTAATACAATTATTACACTTCTGAGAAGATGCATTCTATTGTATCCAATGACCTTCAAAGTTCTGATCCAGGTTGCTGGGCTTCCTCAGAAGGTGGTGATGAAGAGACTAAAGGAGAAAGAGAGAGGTGGAGTGAAGAGAGAAAACTCATTAGACTGTAATTATAATTAATAATTACAGTCACTACGAATTACAGTAACAGTGAGAGTTTGGCAAACGTATGTGTTTAAGTGGGATTTATACATAGGAAACATAAATACTTTTTAAAATTTCTGGTGCATAGCTGCATAAACACATTTTTGTTATATAAATATATATATATACACACATATATAAAGTTTAGAATTCGTTACTATTTTCTTTTGCAACTTAGAGATAAAAAGCTGTCCATCAAAGGGCTTGATGACACAGACATATCATCTACCAGTTGAGCGTGTTGTTAATAAACAACCTAGATTGATTGCACAAATGGTGTAGAAAGATAGCTTATCCTTATTCTGTAGAATTTTATAGGACTGAAAAAGTGAGTTTTGTCTTAAACTACCTTGAAAAGTCTTGAAATGGATCATTCGGCCCAGTTTTTTGTTGTTATTTTTTGTTTTATGAACTTGATGTATTGATGTATTGTGCATCAGTTGGTTTACTCGATCCTTTCTTACTCTAACAAAAGCATGAGAGTAATGAAATATTCTTAGTGTAAAGTTTTAGCATTTTTATAATATCTCCTACCATAGTTCTTTATACCTCATAAAATGGATGAGTTTTTTTATATATCTTTCTCTTCATTTATTAACTATTTTACAGCTAGTAATAGATAAAAGATCAAAAGGACTGTTATCCTTTGGTAACTCCAGGAAAACACCTGAAATTTCCTTTTCTGGAGTAGTTCAAAGATATGAACACAACTATTTCTGTCAAAGACAACACTTATCCCAACTCCAGATTTTCTTTGAAAACTAACTTGTGGACTTCCTCAGAAATATAGAATCATATTACATATCAGGCCCAAGCCTTACTCTCACATTCTGGAGTGAGTTTATATCTTCCCAAAGAAGAAATTAGGATAGGTAAATAGGTGTGAAAGAAATTAGTATAGGTAAATCTTTTGAACCATTTTGAACCAGCTAAGGATTGTGATGAAGGAGGCCACAGAATGTCTTTTTATCTTCAGCCATTTTAAAACGGATTAAACAAGCATCTGTTCATACGGACATGCTTGCTGATCCTACTTTCAGGCAGGAGAACAGAGTAGATGACTTCCCAAGATGAACTCCAATTTGTTGACTCCAAATGCTGCTTTCGTGGCCTTTATCCCACAAGTGGGTCATCAATATGTGGCTTTGCATATTTCTAATCTTTGGGGGAAGAAAGTGCATTCCTCCGCAAATTTTTCTTTTAAGATGAATCTTTGCTCGTCACACTGGTAATAGCATCATCTACGTTGCTCATAAAATCTCAGACTGATTTCTTCACTGAGATATTGACTTGGATTTCCTTTCTGAAAATTTACTACCACTTTCTGTATGTTTTGTACATACAAAATAAGACTTGTCAGATTTTGTGCATACTTGCAGAAGTGAGACTAAATTTAACCACTACTCTGGGATGTAGCAACCTAGTGGAATCTACACCTTTACTTTGGCTAAGAGGTTTATTACACATTGTAGGGGAAGTGCTACATCTCTAACAGTAGGATAAAAATTCAGCATTCGTGGTAAAGGAAACAATTAGAAATCCTGATGGTGCAAAAATGCCTCAGATAACTCTGCCAGGGAGTCCTTCCTCCAAATAGGGTTTGCAGGGAAAAAAAAAATCACAGAATCATAGAATTGCTCAGATTGGAAAAGACCTTAAGCATCATCAAGTGCAACCATGACCTAACCATACTCCCCTAGCAACCCTCCACTAAACCATGTCGCTAAGCACCACATCCAAACTGTTTTTAAACACGTTCAGGGATGGTGACTCAGCCACCTCTCTGGGGAACTTATTCCACTGCTTAGCAACCCTTTCTGTAAAGAAATCTTTCCTGATATCCAATCTAAACTTACCCTGTCACAACTTGAGGCCATTTCCCCTCATCCTGTCACCACTGAGAAGTGACCAGCTCCATTCTCGCTGTAATCATCCTTCAGGTATTTGAAGAGAACCATTACATCTCCCCTCAGTCTTCTCTTCCCCAGAATAAGCAGCCCCAGTTGCGCCTTGTAGGGCATATTCTCCAAGCCCTTCACAAGCCTTGCTGCCCTTCTTTGGACTTGCTCCAGCTCCTCAATGTCCTTTCTATACTGAGGTGCCCAAAACTAAACACAGTACTCAAGGTGAGGCTTCACCAGGACTGAGTACAGGGGCAGGATCACTTCCCTAGTCCTGCTCACCACACCATTTCTGATACAAGCCAGGACACTATTGGCCTCCTTAGCCACCTGAGCACATAGCTGGCTCATATTCAGCCAATTGTCCATCAGTACACTGAGGTCCCTTTCCATCAGGCATCATAGAGGTTGGAAAGGACCGCTAGAGGTCAGCTAGTGCAACCCCCTGCTAATGCAGGTACTCTAGAGTAGTTTGCACAGGAAAAACATTCAGACAAGTTTTGAATATCTTCAAAGAAGGAGACTCCACAACCTCTCTGGGCAGCTTGTTCCAGTGCTCTGCCACTGGAAAAGAAATCTGTCCTTTTGTATGTACAGAACTTCCTGTGTTTCACTTTCTGTCCATTGCTCCTTTTTCTGTTGCCGCACACCAAAAAGAGTCTGTCTCCACTGACTTCACTCCTATCCTTTAGATATTTATAAACAGTGGTGAAATCTCCTCTATCTTCTCTTTTGCAGGCTGAACAGCCTCAAGTTTCTCAACATTTCCTTTTAAGGGAGATGCTCCAGATATCTGTGACACTCCTCTCTCTCTAGAAATTCTATATCTATATTGAATTGCAGAACCCAGGGATATGGTACTCCAGATGCAGCCTCACCAGGGTAGAGTAGAAGGGGAGGATCACCTCCCTCGACTTGCTGGCCATGATTTTTTGGTGCACCTGAAGATACCGTTGGTCTTCTTGGCCACAAGGGCATACTACTGGCTCATGGTAACCTGTTGTCCACTAGAACAGCCAGGTTCTTCTATTGACCATTTCAGCCAAAGTAAGGTAACTGAACTTGCTTGGAATATTTTTACTCACACACAGGCTGATCCATTTAGACCTAGGCATCTTTCTAGTTAATTTAGTTTTGAGTCTGTGCCCTGAGCTGAAATATAAGAGACCTGGGTTCACTCTTCTCTGCTTGAGAAGACCAGAATTCTTACCTTCCAGGAGAATATCCCATGAGATATTCATGAGGGAGAAAAATATTTTCCTTCTCCCACTTCAGCCTGAGAGCTGTTCCACTTTGCAATAACTAATTAAATATTCAGTGCACCAAAAAAAGACTAAACTTGAGAGCTATTCCTTAGCCAAAGGCTGTGGGTACCCCCCTTAAATGAAGAGTCATGATTCCAGTTCTTGCTCTCATAAAAACTTTGACACAATAACTAGGGAAGAACTAAAGTATTTGATCTCAAAAGTATACATACACAAAGAAAACAGAAAAAGATGCATCCTACCTTCTTAGCTGTATAGTACTTATACGCATGAAACGTGTTGAATGTATTCAACAAAAAATGAAGAACTGAGAATGGTATTCTGGAAATTAGATGAAATAACTTTATAGTAGTGCCACCACTGGCCATGTTATGTTTTACATAAAACCCAGTTCATTAGTGTCCTCTAAGAATAAAATATTAAGACATGCAAGCGGAACACTTAGCTGGTGTTCCATGTAGTGCAAATTGAGATATCTCTGCTCAAATGCAGAAAAAAGTTTACCAGATCTGGGGGAAAATAGAGTACTTTCAATTTTCTGTTCTTCTTCATGGAGTTAAGAGAAAGATGAAAAAAAGGAACCTTACGATTTCATTGTTTAGGAATTACTTTTTTCAACCTCAAGTAGTTTCTATAGATAACTGCTAACCAGTTTATGCCCTTAGACCTGTGAGGATGTATAAGTTTTACATCTTTTCCTCTCTTATTACAATAGTATAAACTTATTTCAGTTTTCAACTGAATATTGTTTTCATCATTTTTTAAAATTAATTATTGATCACCAGAAATGCTGTAACATGACACACGAGATGCAGTTTAACGCAATTTGGTCATCTAAGACTTACTTGTGAAAATGC